ATAGTTTGAGCTAGTCGTCAGAAAACCCTGCTCAAGCTTAAGGGAACTAATTCTCTTCAGTGATTATACAGTGTAAATATTTAAGTCCTACAGGTCAATCATTACCCAAGTATCTTGGTGACAAAATCTCAGACTGTGAAATTAGGTGAATCAAAATCAAATCCATAGAAGAGTAACGGTTTACTTGAGATTCCACGTAAGTCTTCCTGGTGCGAACCAACTAACACGAGATTTAGATTTAAAAAATTACTTCTGACTTCTTTTAACCTCCCAAAGTCAGAATCATATTGAGTAACCAAATTATCAACTGATTAACACCAAACTACGACTTAATAAACCTGTAGTTTAGGATTTATCACACAATTATTTTGTATGCTAATCGAATGATAATATGAGTTGAACCGAAGAACAAGAAAACTCTCTCTCCCCTGGGTTCGAGTCGCACATGTAGGATCTTAGATACGCAATGTTGAGGAGTCCCATACTAGGATGAAACGACTGAGGTTTCAGGTTCTAAATGCTGGTCTATCTTAAATTGACTAATGAATCCAACTATTAAAATTACTACAATCTCCACAAATCTTCATACTGTTAATAAAAATAATTAGCAAAACTTACAGGTTTTTGTAGATATCATTCTCAATTCATACAATAAATAGCTCATATATACTAAGATAATACATCAACTTATGGAACTAGAAAAGAAGGACAGGACAGAGTGGGTTGGAGAATGTTGGTCGGCGGCCTATGCTCCATTAGGAGTAACAGGCGTAAGTAAATAAGTAAGTAATACATCAGCTTCGCAATATAGTTAAAGCCAAAAATTCAGTTTATATTAAAGTTCAGACTGGTGAATACCAAATAGACATTGGAAAACAAAGATCATTCATAATTATTGGAGAAAATGACGTCTAATCTCTTAAACTGTGCAATCTAAAAAAATAAACCATGGTAATAAAAAACTAATAACTGTTATTGTAAAAACAAAAAAAAGACAAACAACCTTTATTACGTCAAGCAGTAAACTGTTCAAATACACAACTAAGATACCTCTTTTTTTAAAATCCCAGTTACTACCTTAAGTTGTTAACCATTTCACAGATATTATACACTGAAGTAATAATTGAGTATTGAATAAGTTGAATGCGTCAGTTTCATTTATTCAACAAAATATTTTTTTTAAAAACACTTCAAAATGAAGAACTTTGATACTTGTAACCAGTTCATAAAATACCTGTCTATATAAGGGAATGAGATTTGGAAAAAAAGATTATCATTGATTTCTAATAGATTGATTCATTTCATCGATAATATCTTTACTGGAACATTACTAGTCGAGTCACAGCTTATGGCGAACTGTCATCTGCTTTTACAACCTCAAATGGTGTCCGTCAAGGCTGTCCACTTTCTCCATTTTCGTTTAACTTCATCATAGATCTACTGATGGAAATAACTTTCTCGTCGACTGAATTCTCGGGTATTGATCTCCTTCCAGGAGGTCCACTTATCGACTTAGAATACACAGATGACATAGTCCTGTTTGGTGAAGGAGCTGATAAAATACAGTCTTTTGGTATCACTGAGCAACAATGCCAGAATGTTTGGAATGCACTTCTCTCCCTCTAAATGTAGGTTGTTGCTTCACGACTGGTCTGCATCAACACCTGAACTAAGGATAGGGAGTGAATTAGTTGAACGCGTTGACAACTTCACTCATCTTGGAAGTCTGATCAGCCCTAATGGGTTGATGTCTGACGCAGTTTTAGCACGGATTCAGAAAGCTCGTTTGGCTTTTGCTGACTTACGTCACCTATGGCGAAGGCGAGATATCCGTCTATCAATAAAAGGACGAGTATATTGCGCGGCTGCGAAACGTGCCAATTAAGAGTTGACGATACTCGTAAGCTACTAGTATTTGACCACAGATGCTTCAAAAATATTGCCAGCATCTGCTGGGACCACTGGGTAAGTAATAGTGAGGTTAGAGGTAGGGTATTAAGGAATGATGGTTAATCAGTTGATGGGGTTGTCAATCTTCATCGACTGAGATGGTTGGGCCACGTGTTGCATATACCACGACATACAATGCTAACGGGTGTTGGGGATGGTTGTAAGAAAGTTAGAGGCGGCCAAACCAAAACGTGGCATAAGTGCTTGAAGACATTAACTTCTAGTCTGAGCCATGTTGTTAGATGCAGACTACTTGGTTGGGGTCCACCTGACTATCGTGACCAATGGTTGGACCCTGGGCGATATATATATATATATAGTGACGTCTACGGGGATTACGAGGAGCCTTCCAAAACACTATAATAAACATGCATTACTGATGAAAATCTTGATTATCATTATTATTTGTCCCATCTTGTCGATAAATTATTCTTCTTTCTTTCTACCATTCCATATTATCACGACATCAACCACTGAATCGGGATATTGTTGAATTTTGTATTTTAACAATACAAAATGATCCTAATTAAACAACTATTGGAAACTATAAAAGACTGGACATCTATTTCATCTTCTTATGGGATTTTATAGTGGTATACATCCTAGTGATCTTCATTTTATGATCTTGTTTAAGTCATTTAACCTTGTTACATGATTGATACAAATTATTCTGTACTCTTATACTTGATTACGCATCTTTGTAGCATAACTGGATGTTTTAATAGTAATTATGAATTATACTTTATTTTGATAAGTTAGCTTTTTGTCACAGACTGGCATTAGCTAGAAACATCGTTGAAGACAAGAAAGAACTTGACATTTATTTCGTGACATTATATCTATTACTGATAAGTGTTCACACATAGATTCACACAAAACAGAATTTAGGATGTTTAGTTTCTATAGTGATTGTTAGATTTTTAGATCATTGATACAGAATCCAGTAGCCTATATTTCACTCATTCCAAGTTGTATGACAGCCATCTAATGTCATCAATACGGAACAAACACACTGTAGACAATATATCTAGCATATAGTGAGACTTTAATTTCTTTTATTCAGTCAAGCACAGTGCTGGTGAATTTCAAAACTGTGTCCAGATATCCTTAGTTAACTCTTTGGTCTAATTATTCTCCGGGGGATCTCAACAAATGAGGAATATATATGGAGAGAGATAGACAGTATACTTAGGCATAATTTGTTTATTTAACTTCATTCTCCTTCCCTTCTACTAACCAGGATAACAGTGAACATATACTAAAAGATTTTTACTTCTTTCCAATCTCAGTTCCTCAGACCCTAACATTTATTTTATACGAACTATTTTACTAGAACATATCAACCCTAAAAATATTAAGCTAATGCATTAGTATCATGCAAAAAATCTTATAAATAAAGTTTAGTAATATAGATGAATCTTTGATACCGATGAAAGTAGTTTCATTTTGACTCAGATATAATTTTGTGATATTGTTACTTGGTGAACGATTGAAATGTAGTACATGATATGTAATCCTTTTTAATTTATTACATACATGAACATGAAAAGGCAGATGGTTAAACAACTGTACAATGTGGTGTATGTTCATAATATTAGCTTATTGAAAATGAGTAAGTTTATTAGTTTTATATCATGTATTCTCGAAAAGGAAGCTGGCGCCTTCTGACATAATTCAGTAAACAATCAATGAATTGATCATAAGTTAATTTTCTATTCACCAACGTTCTTACAACCTACAGATTATAATTAAAATTTTATTACAGGGTAACCAGATGTTAGCTATGTTTAAGATTTTCCCGAATTATCACTTGTAAAGAACAATCCGAAGATCAGTACAAACACCTACTTACCTATAACGTCTACCTGAACAACTCATGTTTCACACCCGTAAATTAATGCAGACTGAACGTCTCTTGCCTCATGACATATCTTGTCTTTACTACAGGTAGCGTAGGTTGGAAGTAAGCAAATGAACTTTTGTATACGCATTGAAATTTAATCATTCACTAATTCCTCATGAATGAAGAAACTTCTGAGTTAAGTGAAGTGATTGATACTATGTACTGGTTCATGTCGTTTTTATTTTAAAGATAGTAAACGGGATCAATCTTGAAGAAATACGTTGCAATTTTTTAACCTAACTAACAGTATTCATTCAAACAATTCTTGATAGATTGTTGAATACCTTAGGGCTTAGTGACTATTAATAAATAAGACCGAGGTCATGTAAATAATGACTCAGTCATAATATGTGAAGATATATTTTACGAGTTATCAAAAATAAAAGTATAATGAATTGCAAGACAATAAGTTCTATCCAAAGCGCCATTTATATGCTTTTTGATGGAGTTTTGTTCTCTGAGCTGGATGGTTCGGTCGTGGAGCTTTCATCGTTCTTCTCAAACACATCATCAGTACAAACTTCAGATCATCAAAATCACCCACCTGAGCCACAAATCTTCTCCACCATCTCAAAATCATATGAGCGTAATACACTTCTCGTTGTTCGAAATTGGGAGAATTTCGCCAAAAGTCAGGCTTCCACTCGAGAACAACTATATTTCCTCCATGAGTATCTTCGCCAGCATGTTCTACTAACAATTATAAGATATAGAAAAAAAAGGTTTGTGCTGATGATGTCGTTCAGAAGAACGATGAAAGCTCCACAACCAAACCATCCAGCTCAGAGAACAAAACTCCATCAAAATCATCCACCTGAGCTACAAATCTTCTCCACCATCTCCATTTATATGCTTTTAATTCATATATACAATTAATATTTATTTCAGCATCAACTAAAAATGCCAAGTACATACAATCTTGTAGTGAGTTAATATTTTTTTACCATATGAATAATGAGGGCGTTAACTTATCACAATAATTAAACGAGACAATTTATTGATTGACCTTCAAACGATCCAATCAACTGATAGAATAGTAGACGAATAAACCAATCACAAACAAACTTTATTCTTATTGGTTAACACAATCTTAACGACTTCAATGTTTAGTCCCCGTGATTTCATCAATGTAATTTACACATGATTTCTTTAATTTAGGAGAATGCTATGTACAGAACATTTGAATTACTTATGTGCAATATTATTTTTTTTAATCGAACTCAAAATTCACTATGGGAGTTTATTATTCTATAAATAAAGAAAATGGTTGTATTCATAATAAGATTTTAAAAGGGAAAATTATTTCAAATATTCATATAAACAAACGTAAACGTTCTGGATCACGGAAATATTCACATAAATCAAATTCATATATAATTAAAGTGATCAATATTACTGCTAATAATAAAAATATCTTAAACCATATGAATACAAGTTCAGAAAGTAAATCTATAGATAAATCACAAATTACTTTTATTTCTTCAATGAATTCAAGAGGATGTATTTCACCTACTTTACCTAGACGAAAGTCACCAACACATATACATGCCAAAATTTTTAATAGTTGTGTTCCACTATCTGGTTTACGTCGATCATTATCTCTTCCAAAACAGAACAGTTTATCAAATAAGAACCATTCTCCAGAATCAAGATTAGGAATACCAGGATCGAAATGTTTGTCAAGAAACAATTCAAAGTGTTCAGCAGCAGAGGGAAATGCTTCACCGATTGGTGTTGAACTTTCACTTCCTTCTGGTGGTTGTTCTAAAGACCTGTTGATGAAGTGGAAGAGTGGTAAGCATGGCCAGTCGTCTCGTGATAAACGCGATAAGGAGTTTGACTATGGTCAAGATAATCTTGTATTCGAGAACTGCTTGGATTGTATCGATGATCAAATGACAAATACAACCATTCTTTCCAGTGATTACACGTCTTCTATGGATGACTGTTCCTCTATTTTTTATGATCCTATATTGGCTAAACTTGAAGCAGAATTACCTGTTCCACCGCCTCCTCCACGTGCTTGCCCACCTTGGCTTAAAGCTGCTCTTGCTAAACAAGAAGCTTTAGGCAAAGAACCAATCCAGAAATTTGATTTTAAAGATAGATGTTGCGTATCATCCTCGTTGCAATTACCCACATCTCAGTTATCCCCTCTTCCATCTGACTTGGATCAACATAAAGCTTTAAGCCTTGGAAATAGCCGTTTTAATGTTCGCATTTATCCAATTATACAAAATGGAGTAAAAATAAGTGATACACACTATTGGCTTCTCGATCCTCCTCGGTCCAAAACGTTACGCGATAATTCTACACTTATGCATAGAACAACTGAATGTTTTCGTGTTCCTCCATCTTCACCACTGGACATTTATTCTACAATTGACGGTTATACAAACATTGAATCCACCAGTTTATGTCCTCCAAACGAGTTACCACTGAAAGATGTTAAACTGAGACGTGGTAAATCTGAAAATTGTAAAGATTCTTTAAAAAATTTCCATAGAGAATTAGTTTTACGTTTGATGAAAGAAGTTCCACAAGCTACTGAATCTGAATGTCAAGCTGTATTAATAGGCAGCAGTTATGATTATGAAGAAGCTACTAGAAGATTAAAATTTGAATTACTATGCCGTAAAGGTTATGTATCTCGATCACATAGTAAACGTTTATTACATAAATATAATTGGGATTTAGATGCAGCTATTTCACGAGCTCATTATGAATATGAATTTCGAAAATTAAAACGTCAAGAAAAAGAACAAATACCATTTGATGATATAGATCAATTATCATATTTTAATCCAACTAAAGATTGTAATAAATATTTAACACATTCATCAACTTCATCAGATTCTTCTTTATCAAATTTACCATGTTCTGTTAATCATCAATCAGTTATTTCACCATGGTATGATGAAGATCGAAGAAGTAATTTATTTTAATTGAATATTTTCAACTCTGTGAGATATAATGGTATAGATTATTTTAACTTGACAATTATTCTGTATTAAAAGAGTTTTTATTTGAGAATATACATACGGATACATACTTATATACATCAATCATAATCATTTCAGATTAAAGAAAAATTTTCTGTTACCAAAGGTAAATCAATTTTTTTTAAAAATTTATTTACAGTTTTCATTTATTTATTCTGTATCGATCGATAGATTTGTTCTTTTTTCTCTCTCTCTCCCTCCCTCTGTCGTGTTACCGGTGTGTTCATATGTATGGATTGTTTATAACAGAAGTGTCTTAAATTATTCGATTGTTTGTTGTGTTTGTTTATTTGGAGACAAGGTGATTTGATTGAGGTTCTGATTGAGGTTAAATTTACATACCTTTGCATATATATATAAGCATTTACAAAATGATCAATACAAAAAGGAAAAAAAATAATGTACTTTTCAAAGATAATTTGTCTGTATTAGTGACACGGTTTATGAAAAAGAAACAAGTGTGCTGTAAGGTGAATTTTCTTTATTGTACACGTTATTACAGAATGAGCACACATACATAACTACATACATACACATATATATCCTCTAATTGTACATAAACCCAAACACAATACTTATATTGGTAAATTAATAAGAAATAATAATAACACTAATAATCTATTAATAAGAAGTCTAGTCAGTTAGTATATTTCTTCTCTTCACAAAGTGAATTCGTTTTATGTCTTCCACTTCTTCTTCTTCTTCTTCACTTTCTATTCTCTTAACTTATTTATTTCTCATAATTTAATCTATCATACAGTCAGTACTTTGTAAGATTACATTGAACTATTATACTTTGTACAATTAACTTTTCTGTATGCTGGCATGCAATAGTTGATCATAATAATAATAATAATAATAATAATAATAATAATAATTATTATTATTATTATTATTATTATTATTATTATTATTATTATGTTACATTGCTTATTACTCTTTTACTGTTACTACGACTTTTGATTGTCCAAGTTACATCATCATTATCATTGTTATCATCATTTAAATGAGTTTTCTCGTGATCTCTCTCTTTTTTTTCTTTTTTTTTCTTCTAAACATTGATATTACTTATTTTCATTGAATGTCATGATACATAATTAGTGGATTATATTGTAAAAGTTTTTGTATATGCGTTTGTACATGTACATGGATATATATATATATATATATATATATATATATATATATATATATATATATATATATATTTGTGTGTATGTATGTGGCCTTAATCCATGTTGGTATATGTAAGATAAACATTAAGTTATCTACTCGTTCATTTGTGAAAGAATCAGAAAATCACAAAAACAAACCTTGTATATTATTGATTTTTTGTTGTTGTTGTTTTTTTTCTTGTTTTCGTTAGTGAAATGTAGAAGCGGAGAAAAAATGTTGTTTACTTGCCTTGGCAAATATTCTCATTTTTTTTGTATCGTAGAAGAATAGGAACGAAAAAAAATTAATTCTCAGAAGAGGGTTTTGTGGAGATTTTAGTGATTTAATAGTTGAATTCATGAGTCAATTAAAGCTAGACTACCATGGAAAACCTGAAGGCACTAGACGATCGTTTCATCCTTGTATGGATTGATTGTATTTAGATATTAACACCATTGGATGCCGACTCAGTGGTCAAGAGGTTAAGCGTTCGCACGCGAAACCGATAGGTCCTGAGTTTGGATCTTGTGGGGCGAGATCGTGGATGCTCACTGCTGAAGTATCTCACAATAGGACGAAGTAGCCATCCAATGTTTCCAGCTTTTCATTTGTGATCTAGCATTGATCCATTCATGATTTCAATCAAAATAAAGTCGATCAAAAAGCAACAATCACTGAAAATCGGAAAACTTCTTGATTAATATTTATTTCATTTACTAGAGTTCCATAGGAAATGACCTACAAAACCATCGAAACATGATGGAGTTATTATAATTTTAAACAACATACATATACGAACAAATTTGTTTTCAATCAGATCCTCATTAAGCCTTACTCTAATATACAGTAATGTGTGTATATATGTATTTACATATGAAAATATTAAACCCAATCAGTTCATGATATATCGGTGATAATGGAATATACTAAATAACAACACGTAATGGGTAAACATGTGTAAACTGATAGTGTGATCATAAGTGTACTAGTTATGGTAAAAATGATAAGGGCTTGAAACAATGCTTCATAATAAGAAGTAGGCCAACAACTTGGAAAAATAGACACAAAAATAGCATTCATTAAAAACTACTAAAATTTCACAATAAGAAGTGTTCGAAGTGTATAATTCAAGAAAATCGGTGAACAAAAACAAACTAATAATGAGTATGGGAAATAATAATGAATAGGATCGTTTGTTCAAGACAATTTGGCCGAAGAAGAGGTAAGGTTGTTACAATTTTTTATTAACATAAAGATCGTTCGTTAGTGCTTCTGGTGTATAAGAGATGAGATCGAACCATACAAATAAAGGTATTAGATTTACGATATATGGCCGCTGTCGATGAAGTTTGACAGAACAGAGCTACGTATTGTTTTGATCATGCCTTTACCCAATAACGTAGAGAGGATCCCACTAACTCGCTAGCTCAGTTATCTGGCAACATAACCTTTAATAAGGAATCATCATAGATCGGATAGATGATAGACGGGTTAACTGCATTACAACTCCTCTTTATTTCTTTAATTAGCCTATCTTGTAGTGCATCTTAGGCTATGCCTCCTTCGAACTGTAGGAACTAGCCCTGTAATCGGTTAATATAACACATCTTATATTTCTTAAAGAAGTTTATCATAATTATTTTCACTTTATTCCAAAACCACTTCTGAAAAATAATCTAAGATCAACAAATTTAATGAGATAGTGGATGAGTTTTTTAAATTATCTCCTAATAACATTTTATTTATTTATTTTAACACAGATATTGGTACAAGGAGGCACCAAATACATATGCGCCACACATATCTCATTTGATATGTATGAGGGCTGTGATACTGCCCGGGTGCCTAAACCGAAGCAAGTGGTTTTCTTGGGGAGCCACACCCGGAGCCTTCGACCTGAAGGTCTGATCCACAAGGCAGTGGAGCAACGTAAGGAAATACAGTCCCATGGAAGCCAGTGACCAACAATAGGTTCATACGCCATTTGTTCCTTCAGGATACTGGAGCTCATGTGCACCAATTGGGTTTGGAATCAGGGTTTTCTAACTCCCCTAGGTGGACTCCCCGTGTCCACCAACCCGGTTATAGCGCCGGACGTTCGCTTTTCGTCCTCTCAATTTCGTAAACAACACCCCCGCCACGAGAAGGCAGTGAGTAGGACTTTCCTAGCAGAGGCTATATACGCGTGGCCATGTGAGAGCATTTGGAGAGGGAGAGCGGACTCTCCCCACTTTCGGCCGTACCAGGGCATTTGGGGGCAAACTGTATAGTGGATCAGAATAAAGAGTGAAAAACTTGTAGAAATTGTTGATTTGCTGGTACGGTTTATCTTTTTTTATTTTCATGTATACATGTACTTGTGTGGCTACAGCTATGAACAGTTTAGATGTATGAAAATTACTAATATGATTCAGTGGATAGGAGAAACTTATGGAAAATGTTTCGACATTATGGAGTACCTGAGAAGGTCGTCAACATCAAACGGAATTCATACGACAGACTACAATGCAAAGTCGTGCATATATAGGATAACTGACAGACGCATTCCGAGTGAGGGTCGGAGAAAGACAAGGCTGTCTACTCTCCCCCTCTTTCTTCTGATGGTTGACTGGATTACGAAGACCTACATATCTGACGGGAAGCACGGAGTACAATGGACAGCTTGGAATTAACTAGACGATTTGGACTTTACAGATGACCTAACCCTTTTTTTCTATGCACACGAACAAATTCAGATGCACATAACTAGTGTAGCAGCAGTCTCTGCATTACTAGGCCTCAACATACACAAAGGGAAAAGCAAAATCCTTAAATACAACACGAAGAACAACAACCCACTGACACGATGTAGAAGCTCTGGAAGAGGTGGAAACTTTCACATACCTAGGAAGCATCATCGATGAACAAGGAGGATCGGATGCTGACGTAAAAGCAAGGATTAACAAAGCAAGGACAGCATTCCTACAACTGAAGAACATATGGAACTCAAAATAACTCTCAATCAATATCAGTGTCAGAATCTTCAATACGAACGTCAAGATAGTCCTACTGTATGGAGCTGAAACTTGGAGAACTACTACAACTATTATCAATTGTCTACGAAAGATACTCAATATCCGTTGGTGGGATACCATCGACAACAACCTACTGTGAGAGAGAACAAACCAGCTTCCAGTTGAAGAGGAAATTTAGAAAAGACGATGGAGGTGGATAGGTGATACATTACGGAAATCACCAAACTGCACCACGAGGTAATCACTAATTTGTAATGGTAAAGGGAAACGGAGAAGAGGAAGACCAAAGAACACACTGGTTATACTAGTATCGTTTAGTTGTACCCATCAGCAGAATTCCAAGCATTCCTTTGTATTATTTGACGCTAATTAGTTTGATACATTTGAGATATCCCGTTGATATCTTATATCCTGAAAACTGGACTCTACAAACTGTACTTCAAACATCAAATTCAGTCAATTATTAGTGACGTACAGCCTTGAAAAGAGGTGTAATGGCCCAAGTCCCCATACGATTTCGGAATGACCAGAAAAATTAACAGGAAACATTCCGAAAGCTATCAAAGTAATATGGTAATAATGATATTGAGAAAGACTGAACATCGGGAATATAGTTTTAAAAAAACAGAATGGGAAAGCATACATCTAGGAATACTGAGACTTAACATCTAGTAAAGGATAAAGAATGAAAACATTTGTACCACTATGAGTGATTCTGACCAACACCACCCAAAGTCTCTGGTCATTGATTGCTGTTATCGCGTAAAACTAAACCAGCATGGCTCAGATCATGGGTAGTGATTAGATATGTGTAACACATATCCTGATCACCTCAGTTGATGAAAATTTAAAACCTCACCAACAGATTTCCCATCTTTACGTAATATACTATGTCTAACGTCGATATTGGCCACGCGGTTGTTTCACGAAAGGCGAGTTGTGCTCTAAAGATACTTATGACCAAGATCATGCAGTCTACTTATGTCTTTTGATTTCAGATTACATGCTTAACGGCTGTAAAGTAAAACAAAGCTTTCTGAATCCATTTCGATGCTTTATCAAAAGCCAACATTAAATTGCTATTATTCAATAAGTTCAATGGTAACAGGGAATTATAACTAGATGCGAGGTGTCTTGTGTCGATTGTTGGATTTGGTGGTTTAAATTACAAAGTTGTCTTGTTTAAGAGAACACTGAATACGAGGAATTATTTCTTGAACATAACCTAAGTCATCTAATTGGATATATACGTCAATTTTTTAAACATATGTAATACAGTGGCAAAGCGAAAAATAAGTAGAGACTCAGCTAAACATGACACTTAAAAAACTGAATAATCACAGAATCCGACTTTAAGAAGTGGTATTTTCAAAAGTGAACTCTTCTTTGCGATTAGCCATCAAAGATTGACTTTTTCATGTCTGTTATGAACCTTTCAGTGGAGTATACATTCAGTAATCCTATAGCTAAATCTATTGAGTATGAGCTCAACAGTTATTGATTTCTAATCTCGGTTGTAATACAGACTAACTGTCATTC